GCTCAAGCTCGGGTTTTTTCTCAGATTCCTCACTATCAGTATCCATAGCTTCGTCAAATGTCCGTTTTGACGTATTTGGTCACTCGTTGGACCTACAAGGAAATACATTTTCAAAGAAAGATGCATTCCTTGATTGTATTATCGTGTTCTTATGTACATCTGGATTATAGGACTCGTGAATTAAGAACCGATAAGCATTAATGTTATGTGCGTAGCCAATAAAGATACAGTCCACTGTCTTAGGACCTATCTTTACTTTCTTAGGTGTTGGCACCGATTAGAGAGAATGTTTGATCATTAACCAAAAAATAGGAATACAGAGTTATCTAAACAACTATTCTCTAACTGTTCCTGACTAATAGACTCAACACACTGTACACCACATATAATATAACTATATAATAAAGCTATAATAATAACAATATTAATAATACTAACACACCCCCTCAAGCATAAGGTGTGGTAGACACAACATTGAGCTTGTCACGTAGAGCCTGATGGACAATTTTTATGTGTCCTTGCAAGTGCACGAATCACTGTAGTAAATAGTGTGCAAAGGCAAGGGTCGATTCCACAGGGAATTGATACCAAGCAATTTAATCTTGAAATTAAAACAATTAACTTAAAAGATAAAACTTAATTTGATTAAATGCAAACTAATATTAAAAGATAAAACTGAATTTGATTGACAAAATTAAACAAATTAATACGAAGTTTTAATAGCAAAAAGTATCATATTCCTAGAATAAAATATTTTGCAAAACATAAAGAAATTTGAAACAATTATCTTATGCAACATCAACTTTCAGGAATTAAACACAAAATAATTAAATAAATAAAAAGAGCACAAAATAAATTAAAGAATTAAAGAGATCTAAGCCAAATGAAATTGTTCATGCAATTTCAGCTTCCAAAGAGTAATCCAAAGTGAATTGCCACCAGTAAAGATCAAAAGGAAAGAAGTTAAAAACAATAAAGATGAATTAGCAATGCATGTAAATATATAGCAGTAAAATCAACTCATAAAGCATTCAACTCATAAAGCACATCTATTAAGAATTACCACAAATAAACTATAAACTAATAACAATACTAAAGCATAAATTAAAGAAAAGGTATTATTGCTGTGAACTGTACGTGTGCTGTTGCCGAGAAGAATAACGCTGCTAGAAACAAAGTTGTCCAGAACTGCTATGCCAAAGACAGATTAACCGAGAGCACAAGTTTCGACGTCAAACCAGGTTCGCCGCCTTCGTCTCCGGGGGTGTATTCCGCGCACCGCCTCCGGAATTGGTCCGGGGCAAAATTGATGATCCTCCCCCTTCAAATGTCTTCCCTTTTTATACTGCTCAATACCAACCATTTTCCCAAGTTTTGTGCTGCTCCCATCAACGCTCTGCCATCCGTAGCCTTGGCCGAAGAAAGCTCCGGGATCTCTTTTTTCCTGTTCCTCCTGTTATTGACTAGCGTAGTAATAATAATAATAATAATAATAATAATAATAATAATAATAATAATAATAATAATAATAATAATAATAATAATAATAATAATAATAATAATAATAATAATAATAATAATAATAAAAAAACTTATTAGAGACCATATATAACTAATCTACATTTATTAAACTCCTATTGAACATGTACAACTAAAATTATAATTATTATTAAATTGAGTTAAGAAATTATTGGACTGGCAAATTTTAATAACAAAATTAATTTAATAACAAAAATAACCAAAAAAGTTAACAATATTTATAAAAAAAAAAAAAAAAAAAAAAAAAAAAAAAACTACTTATAGCGATAATAAATAAAAATAGATATAAATTAATCAATTATTACAAATTAACTATAAAAAGTTTATTTAAAATAACACTAAAAATAATGTTTATCAGAGCCGCAAACCTCGGTGTAGACAATGGCTTGGTGAAGATGTCAGCCAGCTGATCAGTAGTCGAAACATAATTAACGACGAACTCTCCCGAAGCAACCTTGTCACGTACAAAATGGTAGTCAATTTCCACATGCTTGGTCCTAGCGTGAAAAACAGGATTAGCACAGAGGTAGGTGGCCCCAAGATTATCACACCACAACATTGCTGGACCCCCAGAGTACAGCCAAAGCTCTCGCAATAAAGAGACGACCCATGTGACTTCGGCGGAGACGTCAGCCAGAGCCTTGTACTCTGCTTCAGTGGAGGATCGGGCCACGGTACGTTGTTTCTTCGATAGCCAAGAGATCAGATTGGTGCCCAGAAAAACTGCGAAACAACTTGTACTCTTCCGATCTATAGGACAGTCAGCCCAGTCAGAGTCCGAGAAAGCATGAATACCAGAGGAGGAGGACGGAGTGAGCTGCAAGCCATAATCCAAAGTCCCCTTAATATAGCGTAGAACCCGCTTCACTAAGCCCCAATGTTTGGTTGTGGGTGAATGCATATGCTAACAGAGACGATTTACTGAAAAAGCAAGATCAGTTCTTGTGATAGTCAAGTACTGCAATGCCCCTACAATACGGCGATACTGCGTGGGATTATCAAACAGTTCATCAGACGGTGTTACTAACTTTGTGACAGATGTAGGAGTGGAAAGCGGTTTGCAATCAACCATACCAGACCGCCTAGGAGATCTGTCATATACCGACGTTGTGAGAGTACCACATTATCCCCTGCTGAAATCATTTCAATACCCAAGAAGAAACTCGGTGTGCCGAGATCACGAATTTTAAAAGTTGTAGCAAGCTGACGTAACATAGTGTCTACTAGTTTGGAATCATTGCCCATTATTATTATATCATCTACATAGACCAAAAGAAACACTCGGGATGCCCCTGCTGAATAGTAAAATAGTGAAATATCGGTCTTGGATGATATAAAGCCCGCAGATGACAAGAAATCATGCAACCGTTTAAACCATGCCCTCAGAGCCTGTTTTAAACCATATAAGGACCGTTATAGATGACACACATGCCTTGGCACAGTTGGGTCTTCATACCCCGGAGGTTGTTTCATATACAAAGTTTCTTCTAAATGCCCATTCAGGAAGGCATTATGGACATCTAGCTGGCATAGAGTCCACTGATGAGACACAACTAATGAAAATAACAAGCGAACCATGGTTGGCTTAACCACTGGACTGTATGTGTCAAAGAAATCCTCACCTGCTACCTGGTTGAACCCTTTGGCTACCAGACGAGCTTTATAACGCTCAATGGACCCGGTGGCTGTACGTTTAGTCCGAAACACCCACTTGCAGCCGATGATATTCATGTGAGGTTGTGGAGGGACTAAACGCCACGTGTTATTATGCAGGAGAACATTAAACTCCTGGTCCATAGCCTCACGCCAATGAGCATGACCCACCGCCTGAGAATAGCAAGTTGGGTCAGCAATGGCATTTAACGCATGAAATGGCTCATCTGTGCCTTTTGTCATATGCCGTAGCCGCATGACATGGTCCCGACTCTGAGGTTTAGTATGGGCCTTACGTGTCCTGACTGGAGCGGTGTGAGTGATAGCTAGTTGTGGGGACTCACGAGCAAGGGGCACCGGCTCACTACTACGGTGATCTGAAACAGTAGGAGTAGCTACTACTGTTGTGGTAGGGGTTGAGCCACGGGTATAACAGCCCATGGTAGTGCCAGTGGTGTAGACACTTGTTGTGAACACCCTGTAGCTAAGGGAAAGATAGATTTGTCAAAGCAAACATGATGATAGATGTATACCTTTCCACTAGTCTAGTCTACACATCGATATCCCCTAAATGAAACCGGGTAACCTAGGAAGACACAGGGGGTAGTCCTGTACTCAATCTTATGCCGATTGTAAAGGCGTAGATGTGGGTAACAGCGACACCCGAAGACTCTAAGGAAAGTGTATGGGGGGTTGACTTTGAATAACTTTGTGTATGGGCTTTCAAATTTTAGTGCAGAGGAGGGTAAGTAATTAATTAAACAGGTGGCTGTTTCAAACGCGTAGTCCCAATATTCATGAGGTACTTTGCCTCCGGTGAGTAGAGCAAGGCCTGTTTCGACAATGTGTCTATTACCCCACTCTACTCTCCCGTTCTGTTCATGTGTATAAGCGCAAGATTGACGATGATTAATACCGAGACTTTGGAAAATGGTGTGTAACTTGCGATACTCACCCCCTAGATAGGATGGATGGACTTGATAGAGCGCGAAAATTGGCGCTCTACCAATACACGAAATAACGAAAACCACTAACTGATACTATGGGAGAAGGTCCCCAAATATCAATAAAAACTAAGTCTAATACATTTTGACTAGTATGTGGCATGCTATCTAATTTGAAGCGAGACGATTTTCCAAGGTGACACGAAATACATGACTCGACTGGCTCATTTTTATTTGGCTAAACCGGATAGTTTTGTAAGACTTTATTTAAAGCTTGCTTGTGCGGGTGACCAAGCCTTTGATGCCATATGGTGGGAGTAGCCTGGGAACTGACGAACGCAAAACTGGACCGAGACACCAGAAGCTTGTATAACCCGCCCGATGTGGAACCTCTAAGCAGAACCGCCCGGGTTGTGGAATCCTTCACAATGAAACAATTATTGTGAAATTCAAAGAAAACATTGTTATCTACAGTGAATTTATGAACAGATAACAACGGGACATAAAGATTAGGAACATGAAAAATGTCATTTAAACGTAAACATTTGGACTCGGATGGGATTGATGCTTGACCGACTCGCGAAATTTTCAAACCTGCGCCATTGCCCACTCGCAACACATCTGAACCTGTATACTCGTCAGACTGCCCCATCATTTCGGCAACCGGAGTTGCATGAGCCGTTGCACCCGTATCGGGATACCAATTATCCGCCGGACTGGATTGCGGAATCGTCGGGGCGCCACCGGAGATGGCCACATGCGCCTGGGCCGCGGTTGCGTGGTGTACCGCTTGTAGCAGTAGACAGCGGAGTGGCCGTGTGACTGGCAGATCTGGCAGCGAGGTCCACCACGACCACCGCGTCCTCAGCGTTGCTGCTGTCCGTCGCGTTTTCCACGACCACCACCTCCACCTCGGTGCTGGTTCGACGACTGCCTGCCGCACCCGCCGTGTGAACCTCTGCCGGTTCCGGCATACAAAGCCACGGGAGATGCCGCCCCGTTCGCCATTGGATAGTCATCCACGAGGATGAACTCGTGGGCTTGGAGGAAGTCGGACAGGTTGGACAGAGTGACCTGTGCGCCGGACGCCGTGAGGCTGGTCGCTAGTGATTTTAGCTCCGGTCGGAGCCCACGGGTGACGTACAGCGTCTGCTCCATAAGCGACAATGGCCGGCCGGCCTGGATGAGAGACTCGACGAGCACGCCGACTCGTGCGAGGTAATCAGCAATTGTAGAGTTCCCTTGCCGGAGATGCTGGAACTGCCCAAGAAGATTGATGCACCGTGCTTCACTGGTGGAACCGAGCGCCGAGGAGACAGAGGCCCAGATGTCCGCGGAGGTGTGCCTTCCGAGAGCGAGGTGCAGCACCTCGTCCGACATCGCGGAGATGAGCAAGGAGACGATTGTTTGATCCTACTTCACCCAAGCATGAAACGCCGGGTTCGGGACTGTAACACCCCAGATTTTTAAGACTTTTAAAAACTTATAATAAAGGTAGAATCTCATTAAATCTCAAAATGTAATACAAGCGTTCGGGGTGCTATGCCACACCTGGGCTAGAGAACCCAAGTACACAGGCTAACTAACTAATATCCTCAAAGCGTAAATACATAAACACGGCACGCAGGCCGAATGGGAAACTATCTACTTCTACGCTCCGAGTTCTAGCGCGCTCCAGTGACTTAATCTTCTGTGCTTGAAAGCCAAATATATCTGTTCAGCGAGAGATGCTGGTAACCCACTCCAACGCGTTGAAATACAATACGTATAGAGAGATATATATAGATATACGAAAACCACTTTGAGCATGAAGATATATCCTACGAACCCTAGCTTTTAAAACCGAGATTGACTCGCCAGATAAGGCTAAGCACAAGCAACAGTTATCACAAGCATATACAGTTCACAATAGGCAAGACAGATAAGCTAAGCCCAATTAATAATCACAACCCAACGTAACAATCCCCAACATAAATCCCGTAGTCACAACCCCAAATACTCATAACCACAACTCATCCATAACTCATCACATAAGCACACTTTGTTGGCGCCATAGGACCAATCGCTACCCATACATGAGGGTCAGTGCATATAGCTCTGACACGGCCCCGCAGCACCCTGCCCCGTATCGCAACACGGAGGGGTCGATCTCAACTGACCGATGAACCGCAGCTCATAATAATGTTTGATCGCAACCAAACAGTGGACCGCAGCCCAAGAGAATGTCATCTGACCGCAGCCAGGAAGTATGAACTGCAGCTCATGTTGAAACGTTTGATCGCAACCAAACGGTGGACCGCAGCCCAAAAGAGTAAATCTAACCGCAGCCAGCTTCTGAACCGCAGCTCAGGAATAACCAATCCGATCGCAACCGAATTGGGGTACACACACACATAACACATAGCAAGCACATGCAGCCCACATTACACATTGGGAAGGAGGAGAAAGCGTATAACAAAACCTATGCGTGATCCTTCACATACTATGGATAGTCCTACGGGTGCATACTTCTTCCACCTAGGTCAACGGGATACCAATTCAACTAGCATGCAATATATAAGACTCATAAACCTACGAACGGTACCCGAAATATCAAACTAGACACGGCACGATAAACGGAGTCCGTTGGGACACCACGGGGATCGGGGAAACATCAAAAGGGGAAGCCGGACTCCCGAGTGGGAGAAGTTTCCAGCGGGTAGCCGGTGGGTGGGGGGCCACCCGCCGGCTGCCCGCTGCCGAGACTGCCCAGTTCGGTCGTGGGTAGGTGGCGGGTCCCCTACCCCCCACTGACTCTTCCATCACAAAAACGCCCGGGGAACCCGAAACCATGCTTAGACACTTTTAAACGTAATTAATAACAACACGTAGACAATTAACGGACCAAACACGAGAAACGTATGGCACATAACCTATCATGCTTTTCTACACATAATCTATACCCAAACATGCGATTTCCCCACCCGATAAACCAAGAATAATATCATACGATACAACCTAGGGTACTAATCACTTTTATATCAACAAGAATACGATTCGTCTTCTAATTACAAGATTCGGTAAGAATAACACATAAGCATTAAGAACATCACACAACCATCAAGAACATCATATAGTCATCAAGAATTCCATATAATCATCAAGAACTCCATAATTATCAAGAATCTCCCAATATCAAGATTATCAAGATCCCCCATGGGATCATTACACCAATCATCAATAATAACATCACAATTCATCAATACACAATAATATGGGGAAACCCTAGGGGGGAAATCATAACTATGAAAATAGGTTTTGTTGAGACATGGGTTACCTCTTAGCCTTAATTAATTCCTTGGCTATGAAGGGTCTTTCTTTAAGCTTTCTTGATTTCTTGAATTCTCCTAGGGGAATTCTTGGAACTCTTTGGGTGGTGAGAGATTATTGTGGTGGGGATTCTAGGTGCCTTCTAATTTCCCTATTTATATATCTAGGGGTCTCATTTAAGGCCTAATCCTTTTTGGGACTAGGGGTTGGGTTTAGAGATGAGGGCCCACGGACTATGGTGGGCCTTTTTCCCTAATTAATCATTATGATTTATTCTATCTCTTGGGCTATTGATTAATTAATTAATTTGCTTTTAGGGGTCGTAACACGGGGTGTTACAGGGACCATGGCTGCCGGCGTCGTCGAACTGGTGGCTGATGACTGATCGGACACGATCATCTCCGGCGGGCAGGGATGGCTTCCATCGACGAAGCCGGTGAGCTCTTGGCCTCGTAGGAATGGGAGAAGCTGCATCCGCCAAAATAAAAAAAATTTGGAAGTCAACTTCGTGGTGACGTAGTGATATGCTCCGGCCAGAACATTACCGGCGGCCGGCGGCGGAGAGGGTGTGTTCTGACGAATTGGTAGACATCATGGTAGGGGGGGGGGGCAATTTACGGTGGAGGTTAGGAGGAGTTGAATCTTTCCGATAACCTGACTTCTGATACCAGATTAGAGAGAATGTTTGATCATTAACCAACGAATAGGAATACAAAGTTATCTAAATAACTATTCTCTAACTGTTCCTGACTAATAGACTAAACACACTGTACACCACATATAATACAACTATATAATAAAGCTATAATAATAACAATATTAATAATACTAACAGCACCAATACTTTGGCAAGACACCCCACACTTTCAGGTACTGGTAGGAAGGTTTCCTACCGTTCCACAACTCATAAGGAGTCTTATCAAGCTTCTTTCGGGGTACCTTATTTAAAAGGAAATTACTAGTCAAAATCGTCTCACCGCACATAATTTGAGGTAGGCCCGAACTTATAAGCACCGCATTCATCATATCTTTCATTGTACGATTCTTTCGTTCGGCAACACGGTTCAATTGAGGTGCGTAAGGTGTCGCACGCTGGTGTATGATACCTACACTTGTATATAAGTCACCAATCGGTGCTTCGTACTCACCACCTCGATTGCTTCTAACCTTCTTAATTCTCTGATTAAGTTGGTTTTCCACTTCATTCTTGTAAAGAACGAATTTATCAATGGCTTTATCTTTGCTCTTAAGAAAATACACATAGCAGTATCGAGTGCTATCGTCGATAAACGTGATAAAATACTTATTACCACCTCTCGTTTGTATTGATCTAAAATCGCACAAATCACTATGGATTAATTCTAGTGGTTCACTTTGCCTTTCAATCGATTTGAAAGGTGTTTTCGTTAGTTTTGCCTCAACACAAATTTCACACTTGATATTTGTGTTAATTTGAAAGTTAGGAATATGGTGCATGCTAATTAAACTACGCAGAGAATTAAAATTAACATTACCTAGTCTACCATGCCACAAATTGGAAGACTCAGGCAAGTAAACAGAATTAACTTGCTTTTATTGATAACAGGAATTACACTGAGCTGAAAAAGCTCATCAGTTACATATCTTTTACCAACAAACATCTCTAACTTAGACAAAACTACTTTGTCTGACTCGAACACCATGCGGAATCCATGCTTGTTCAGCAGCAAGCCAGACACAAGGTTCTTCCTCAGCTCCGGAACATACAGAACGTTGTTCAACGTTAGTCCCTTCCCAAGATTCATCTTGAGAACCACCTTGCCCACGCCTTCCACATCATACTGAGCAGAGTTTCCCATCCAAACCTTCTCGCTCTCTACAATCTCAAAGGTGTTGAACATCTCTTGGTTGCAACATAAATGCTTTGTTGCACCAGTGTCGATGAACCACTCACGTGGGTTAGAGCCCACGAGGTTCACTTCGGTCACCATAGCTGAAAAGCTAATCTCGACCTCCTTCTGACTGCTTTCTCCAACAACGTTGGCTTCAAAACTCTTGTTATTCTTCATTGGAGCCTTGCATTCAGATTCCTTGTGGCCAGGCTTGCCGCAATTGTAGCATGTACCAGGAAACTTGTTCTTGGCAATGCCTCCTTTTGGACCTAGCTTTCTCTTGTCCTTCTTGTTCCTCTTGGAGCTTTTACCGTGCTCCACAACGTTGACCTTAGTGCCATCAACGACAGGAACTCTCCTATCATTCGTCCTGTTCCCCTCCTTAATTCCGAGTCGCTAGATCAGGTCCTATAGGTTCATCTCCTTTTGCTTGTGCTTAAGGTAGTTTTTGAAGCCCTTCCAACCTGGAAGCAACAAGTGAATCACAAATCCTACTTGGAAGGCTTCACTTAGAACCATGCCCTCGTCACGGATCTCGTCAAAGATTAATTTCAAATCTTGTACCTAACTTAGCACGGTCTTGGAATCAACCATTTTGAAGTCAAGGAATCGGTCAACCACAAATTTCTTTGCGCCTGCATCCTCACTTCTTTATTTATGATCCAAGGCTTCCCACAACGCTTTTGATATGCTTATCTTTCGATACACATCGTATAGCATATCACACAATCTGTTTAGGATGTAGTTTCGGCAAAGGAAGTCTGAATCTTTCCAATAACCAACCACTATCACAGATTGAGCATCTTGTTCCTTCAACTCAGGAACCTTCTCGGTCAAGAACCTTGCCAAGTTGAGAGTTGCTAGGTATAACAACATCTTTTGTTGCCACTTCTTGATGTTTGATTCGAGACAGGTGAACTTCTTCGGCTTTTCAGCCGAACTACTTGGTACCGTAGGTACCCGCATTGTGGGGATATACCCCTCGGTAATCCCACCATCTTGTGAACCTACGTTCACTGGTGGTGTCAGGGAATTTGCAACATTGTTTCCGTTCCCACCATTGTTGTCCGCAACAATATTTTCGTCCCCTTGATTTGGCAGTCCAGGGTTCTCCATTTCTTCTAGGAAATTAGAGACAAAAAAAAAAAAAAAAAAAAAAAAAAAAAAAAAAACCAACGGGAAAACAAGGAATAAGGATTT